TCCATCCTGCCCTCACGCGTGAACAAGACCTCAAGATACTTAAACTCCTCCACCTGAGGCAGGACTTCCTCCCCAACCCGGAGGGTGCAAGAGGAAGTCCTGCCTCAGGTGGAGGAGTTTAAGTAAATACATAATAATAATAATAATAATAATAATAATAATAATAATAATAATAATAATAATAATAATAATAATAATAATAATAATAATAATAATAATAATAATAATAATAATAATAATAATAATAATAATAATAATAATAATAATAATAATAATAATAATAATGGCCCAGAAGCAATGTCTCTTTCTTTGGTGTGGAAACCCAGGGTTCACCTCCTAGGCAAGATGCAGTATGACTTGGGTGTCTGTCATGGAGATTGCTGCCCCCACGACCCGGTAACAGATAAGCAGGCGAAGATGGATGGATAATACTGAAAATAATAATCGTCCCACAATTCACAGTGCAAATACAAGTATTTGGAACCCACATAGGCTGCCACAGGAGGCATGTATTGTTTCTGGGGTTCAAACCCAGGACCCTCTGCGTGTAAGGCAGGCGTGATTAACGTAGTTAAAGGAGTAAATGAGAATTTTACGATGAAACATGGTGATAAAACTGAGCCAAAACTTTCTTTAAAATAAAAAAAAAAGACTTAAGAGCAACAATCTGTTGGTTGGGAAACTATTGTTTTTACACACGGAAAGTGTGTCGTTGAAATCTTTGTTGTTCACTAGAATTTGGTCTGACAAAACCACGCTATCAGAACACTCGTACTTAGGCGTAATGAAGACAAAATTTAAAAAAAAATGGCCTACCACCGGCAAATGTAAACAGAGCTGTTTTCCTTAAACCTCAACACATACGGTCCAGCCTCCAGGCTTTTATTTATGTTTTTTTTTTTTTAGCTTGAATAAATAATAATAATTTGCAGAAACATGTATTAGTCTGTAATGGAGTAGTTACATCTATACCAGCAGTCCCCGACCTTTTTTGTTCCAAGGGCTGGTGAACCGGTACCTCAGCAAGATGCTGAGCATTGAAGAATAAAAAATAAATTTTCAAAATAAAACACATTTTAGACTCTATTCTTATTGTATCAGAGTCTGAATGAAATGTTATTTTAAAATATTGCCAGATTATCTTTAAATAAAAAAATAAATGGATATGACTAGATTTTACTTTGAATAAAGTAAATTAGCAAAAATGAAGTACATTTCTTCACTGTGTCCCACTGCGCCCCGACACCAAATGACCTATGGACTGGTACTGGTCTGCAGACCGGGGGTTGGGTCACCCCTGATCTATACAGTCTTCTTCATTTACAACTGGCCCTTCAATGGGAATTGTATTGCTGATGAGGCCCCCTGGTGGAAATGAGTTTGACACGCCTGGTCTAGTGACAGTTTGTTTGGCCTGCATGTGGTGTTTTTTTTTTTTTTTTTGTTTGTTTTTTTTTTCAGCAACACCCATGCTAGTAATCAGATGTTAACGCCTGTGCTTTTAGGCGGGGCTCTTTTGAGTCAGTTACCAACTTTACTCTGTAGCTGACATTTAGAGCTTAAGTTGGACCTTTTAGAAGTAGTCATTAGAGTCGACGACATACACGTAGTTAAAGCTTGCTGAATGGCAATGTTGGCATCTGAGAGCACGTAGTAATATACAATTATACAAAGTTAATGTACACATTGTCCCAATATCAACCTCAATATAGTCTGAGAGCTTTTTATTGTATTTTATTAATATGTCACCTATTTTTAATCTATTTGTAGCATTCTTCTCAGATTACGAGGGTTTTCGAATTTTTTTTTGTCACCTAATAATAAAATTGTTTCGAATTTTTTTTTTTTGTCACCTAATAATAAAATTGATGCAAGCATTGGATATTATTGCTGAAGAAAATGTTCCTTTAAACAGTACATAATAGTTCCCGTAACTCAGGCCTTGATGTCACATTCCATAACAATGTATGTAAATTAACTAAGTAAGTCAGAGAAGGCTTACGGCACAATACATGTAAATCAACTTGCTGTAAGTCAGAGAAGGCTTACGGCACAATTACCAGGGATGTTCGATATGAACTTTTTGCCGATATCTGATATGCCGATATTGTCCGATTCCGATATCAAGCAATAACAATACAGTGATCCCTCTACTATTGTGATAGTTGCGTTCCAAGACCCACCACGAAATGGGAGAAATCGCGAAGTAGAGGTGAGATAATTATCGTATTATTAACGCATATATTTACCCTTTACGAACCTCCCCCACACTGTTATCAACCCTCCCCGGACTGTATTACCCTACTGAGATGTTAAGAGATGCTACGATGCACGAGCCAATCAGCGTGAGGAACAGAAGAGCACGCTCAATTAGCCCAAATAGTACACAGAATATGCATTGTATTAGCCAATAGTGTACCGTGTATGATCTCATCTAGGTAAACAAAGCTACCAGAGATTGTTCGCAAATGCGCTTATCTCAACTTCAAAACAAGAATCCACATTTTTAAAGCCAATATACTGTATTATGTGTATAATTAATTTATGTCTTTTTGTTGGCTATGTTTCGCAAACCTTTCGAAAATTTCACGAGATCGGAATTAAAAAAATCTGCAATGTACTGAGGGAGCGAATAGAGTACCGCGATATAGAGAGGGAACACTGTATATGCGTTGTTTGGGTTAAAGGCAGAGAATAGTGATGTTCGATACCACCAATTTCCTTTCCGATCCGATACCGAGTACAATTTGAGCTGGTGTCGCCGATACCGATATCGATACCGATATTTTATCATTTGTCTTTTAAATAAAAAAAAGTATTTCAAATCATAGCTTCTTTAAGAATCCAAGGCAGAGTTTTTTATTTATTTATTTTAAACTCTGGAGTGTACTGAGGTAGCTGCCTCATTTACTATACAGTCAACACAACAATAGAAAACCTTGAGAACACAATCATATAAAATATGTCAAAACAATGTTTCAAACTCTGAAAACATGTTATTTGTAAAACAAAAATAAATAAAAAAATAAAATAAATAATCTGAGGAGCCATTTGGGACCCGAAAGAGTCGGATTTTTTCAGTGAACCGAGCCAAAAGAACCGGTTCTCCAAAAAAGAGCCGAAATTCCCATCAATAGTGACTGAGTGAGAGCACGGAGTAGAGCCCCTGTGCTTAAGCATGACGCACACACCCAGGCGGAAGAAGAAGTAGTCCCACCAACCGAGCGTCACTTAGACAACATCTCAATAATTTGGATACTTTTCACCATGTTTCTGTTTAGGATACACCTCATCTCAGAATGCGTAAGTATCAAAAGTATCGATATTTTGATTTCAGAATCGATTTCAGAGCATAAAGATCCAGAATCGGAAGTATCGATATTTCAGGATCGATCCGCACATCACTAGCAGAGGGCACATTTGATTGTCTTCAGCGATGTACCATCTCACAATGACAATAATTCACTTTAAAACTATTTTTAGGTCACATAATCTGGCAAAAAACAATATAAATATGCAATACGCAGCATGCATCATGTAGAAATGCTAGTGTTGACAGGGTATTGACTATTATTTGTTGCCAGTTTTTCAGAACATACCGTAGAATTCGATATATTTAGCGCTAACAATTAGCCATTCTTACGACACCACGGTGTCATACAACAACACTTTAAAGATAGAAAAAGATATTTGCTGCCACTCCTTGAGGACACCCAATTAAATAAATAATAAATAAAATATACAAGAACACACTTTTTGCTGTCTAAGCTCTGGGTTCACAAAGTATGGGGCAGGCACCGTAAGAGTGGCATAGCTTTTGCAAACGGAAGACTGGGGGGCGCGAAACAAGGCAAATGCATCTTAGAATATTGTTTTTATTTGTTCCACAGTGGGGGTACTTGCAACAATGAATATATTGATTTATTTTTTTTGTTTACTGAAAAGAGTATTTTAAAGCAGCCATCTGTGAATATGTCGTTGTGTGTCACTGCGTTCGTAATGAAATGGAGGAAAGGAGAAAGGAGGAATTTTTCAGCTGCCTTACTTGGTAGATGGGTGATTTCATTCAGGAACTTGTCCCTTATATGCTCGTAGTTATGGCCCTGGTGGTGCGTGAGCTCAGGAGGCGAGTTCTCATGATGACTTGACTCGGTTCCTTCCTCATGCTCTGGTTCCAGTACTTCTGCAGCCATCTGACCACCAGCCACTGTCCTCAGCTTCATGCCAGCTTAAAAAAAAAACACACACACCAAAAGGCATGTTTTCTTTTGTAGTTGTTATTGTTCCTGACTAGGAAATTAACTGTGATTTTACATTCATTTCGCATCCATCTTTACAATAATCCCCAGATGTACTGTAATGTATTTTAAAATGCTGCAGGAGCAGACATTTCTGAGCCCGATGCTCTAATCCGTCTGTCATTCTG